ACATTTGACTTTAAAATCTAATATTACAAGGCACATCTGTCATAGCATTAATAACATAATCTCTACGTAAGAACAGTTTTATTCTCTGTTAATAATATATGCTGTAAAATTAAAAATAATTATATGTGATTTTTAAATTAAGAAACAAAACTAAAAACGTTTATTAGAATATTTAACAATAATACCTTTGTCACACATTTAGGCCGAGAAGATAATCACCTATAAACTAAAGTACTAACCTACATGTCCATATATATAATGTAATATTTTTTGGAAAGATTTAGTTCAATTGCAAGTGTTTAATTTTTATTGTTTTATATTTAAAGACAATTCTAAAGCGGTAAACTTCTGTAATATTACCGACACATTTGTAAATCATCCATTTTATTGGAGTATATTGAAAGAAAGAACTATTACACTACATGCATTTTTACATTAAATATTTTTCTTTCTATTGACTGATTTAAATGTATAATTTATATAAATTACGGAATCAGATGAATTCCCCGATTTTGTTTTATATATACATTAGTAGTACATTTTAAATTTTCAAAGCATTGTTTTTTTTATCCCATTTTTTATTTTATTTTTATTTCTCATTTGCACTAAAAAAGTAAACAGTTTATTTATTTATTTTTGTTTATTCTTTGTCTTTATATATCGCGTTCCATTAGGAGGAGTAAAAGGTGAGTTCAGCATCAATAATTCTTTCCAAACACTATTATGTGTGGGAATTGTTATTGTTTACTTTGCTCATTGCAAGATATCAAGAACCGGTTGAAGAGATAAAATTGTTGACTTGCTGAGTATGAAAATTGAATGGAGTGTTCTCGCTGTTAAGAGAATTGCCTACAGTTATTGCTAGCATTTGCAAGTTCTCGTTTTTTATTTACTATCACAATTTTCTCAATTCAACTTTAATCACTGCGTAAACATTATAAAACGTAGAAATTCAACAAAAATAAAAATAAACAGAATTCTCATTTTAGTCGATACGTTTTGCAAAAAAAAAAATGGATTTTACGTATTTGAAGAATTTAAACTGGTATCTTTTAACTTATTATTAAAACTACATTTCAATAGTGAAAAATTATTTCAATGGTAAATAAAGATCTTAATTAACTTGATATAATCCTAAAAGCGTTGAGAAAATCCAGAAGAGCACGTGAAGATAACAATATAAACTAAATTAGAGAATGATTAATGTAGTAAACATTTTTTCATATTTCAATGCATTCTTACATTTATATTTATTAAAAGCATATAATTAAATTAATTTTTAACTTATTTTTTTAATACATAAATGCAGCAGAGTTTTATGTTTATGGCGGGAAAATTTTTCAGTATAACTCGTTGCTCCATAGATTTGTATTTATTATCATACAATAACACGCAATTCAATGGTTCATTGTACCGCTAATAGACTACAGAATTATATACATATATGTAAGTATATCATTTCATATACATATCTTTACATATGTCTTCCAAGAGTACGTCTTTGAAGATTAAAAGAAACAAATTAATACAAAAAATTAAATGGTTACTTCAATGGATACATAGTGTGTAGTACTTCGTTTAAAAATCTCCATTCTCTCCCACCGAAATTTTTACTTGTCCCACAGTTTTAGAGTATCTTCCTTGACATCACAGTTCAAAAATGTACATAGAGAACAACTGTGGATCTCCCAATCTTTACAAATGGTGCCGCGTGACCTCTTATCGCCAATAAAATGTCTAAATTATCGTATCACTACTTAGTCGTTTCATATTATTTACATTGTTAGGATATTCCGCTCATAAGGGTAGACGAGAACGGTAATAGTGTGTGTTTGTGCAAACGCTTTGTAGTGATTCTTTGGATACCGGTAATATCTTACACTTCTGAAACTTATAGGGTTTGACTTATTGGTCATTTTTGGAGTAATTATTGCATAATTGTTTTCGATATGTTCAACTGAGCAAACATTAATGACTTTGATTAAGCAAAAGTCAATAATTGTGGATTTAGAGCACTCTCCACTGATGATCTGCACCACAACAAAGTCTATCTATGTTAAAGTGTAAATCAGCTTTCAACTGTGAAAATGGTTATATATTGCCCGTTTAAGAATCAAAACCCTAAAAAACTTTCATTATAGATGACATTATTTTAGAATAAGAAGTGAGTAATCTCAAAACAGTATGGTTACCACATTTAACTACCAGTTTAAAAATTATTTTTATATCTAAAATGAAGTTCTTTTGAATAAATTGTTTTCTACTTTCTTGATTTTTCAAATTTTTGCTTTTTTTTAGTACTAATATTACATTTTTATATATTTTACAGCAAAGTGTATGGTGCATATAATTTTCGCGATCCTGTCATTTTCGTATCTGACATCGAATTGATTAAAAAGATAGGTATAAAGGATTTCGACAATTTTGCCAATCATAAAGCGACTTTTAATGAAGTCAGGGACAATATTTTGGCCAAAAGTTTAGTGAAATTGCAAAATCAAAAATGGAAGGAAATGCGTACAACGCTGACCCCAACTTTTACTGGTAGTAAAATGCGACAAATGTTCGAACTTATCAATGAATGCAGTATTGAAGGAGTTTCGTTTCTGCAAAGCGAATTGAAAGCAGCAGGGATTAATGAACTTGACATAGAAATGAAAGACTATTTTACAAGGTATTCCAATGACGTCATTGCATCAGCAGCATTTGGCATAAAAGTCAATTCATTTGTGAACAAGACAAATGAATTCTATGAAGTTGGTAGAACGTTTACACGTTCCGTGGGACTAATAATGGTTAAAGCGTTTTTAATCAAAGTTGTACCAACCATAACAAGAGTAAGTAAATTTCAATACAATACAATATATAAATAATGAAAACATGAATTAAACATTAATTACAGTTACTACACATAAAACTATTGAATGAAACATTGTTAAATTATTTCCGAAGTTTAGTTTTTGATGCAATTGAATATCGTAAGAAAAATAATATCATACGTCCTGACATGATACATCTTCTTACGGAAGCAAAAAAACAATTTGATGCCTCGAAACAACAAAGAATTGCCGATCACGCTGAATTTAATGATGAGGATCTTTTGGCACAATGTTTATTATTTTTTCTGGCTGGATTTGAGACAGTTTCCACTTGTCTTTGTTTCACTTGTTATGAATTGTTGATGAATCCGGATGTACAAGAAACTCTATACGAGGAAATTTTAGCTACAGAACAAGATCTCAATGGGTCACCATTGTATTATGATGCTCTAATGAATATGAGATATATGGATATGGTAGTATCAGAATCCTTGAGGAAATGGCCACCTGCTTTGGCTACAGATCGTGTTTGCGCAAATGATTACAATCTAACTGACAATGATGGAAAATTGATACTCAAACTTAAAAAAAATGATCTTATATTTATACCTATTGTTGGCCTGCATTATGATCCCGAACATTTCCCAGAACCTGAAAAATTTGATCCTTTACGTTTTTCTGATGCAAATAAAAAAAATATTAATCATTTAGCTTACGTACCTTTTGGTTTAGGACCTAGAAGTTGTATTGGTAAGAGAATTTACATTTTGTTAAAAGTTAAAGGATTATTATTTAAGATTTTTCTTTTTGAAGGTAATCGTCTTGCTTTAATGGAAGCCAAAGCAATGATATATCATTTGCTCTTGCATTTTAAAATTGAACCAAATGAAAAAACTAGTACAGATATGTTTAACTCTATACGCGGATTTCAACTAAAACCTAAGGAGCTATTCTGGATGAAATTTACACCACGTAACAAGAATTGAAATTAATATTTTTATAAGTGTGTGTATAATTATACGTTTGTAAATAATGACCAAAAAGTATTAATGCCGTACTTATAAATTTTTTCTATTAAAATTTTTGTGAAAAATATATAATATCCAATTTCAAAAATTTTTGAATTTAATTTAATAAAATAATAAATTTCTTGTCGAGCATATTAGTTATGGACAGAGTATTTAACTAATTTATATTTAATAAAAGTTTTAAATAATCTTTTACTTTAAATTAATTTGACTAATTTTAATTGGAACTTACTTAAGATATCGAAATAGATTATATCTCAAAATGCAAAAATTTTCAATAAATATTCATTTCAATTTATATATATGTATCTTCTAATTCATTATTACTTAATCGGTTAATAAAAAAATATTAACCATTTGTTACAAACATATTAAACATTATTAACCGTATATAAAACTGTTTAAATCGAAATTAAGAAAAGGGAATGACTACGAATAGACTATACACCGCATGAGAAAGTTGCTCAAATCACAAAAATGTTTCCTAAGTAAATACTTTACGATGTTGTAGACCTCGCCATACTCGTAAGATATCAATACTAAGATGTGATATTCACATAGAACAACGGTAGTTTGAATCGAAATGTATTGACTTTGTTTCCATCCCATAAACTTATTAATAAGAATGATACCCTATAATTCACTAGGGAAAGAGTATAATAGAAGAAGATAATACCATACTAATCAAGGAATTAATAGACAGTGCTTTTTAATGTTTTCTGTACTTCTGTTTTCGATTAATAGAGAAGAAATGTTGCTACTAATGTAAAACATTTTCAGTTACTTTACAATATTAGATACTATTATTAATACTATTTAAAAAAGAAATGATAATTGCTATGTATTTTATGTCCTTTGAATAAATATCCATGTTGTAATAATACATTAAATATATAACACAAGAAGAGTTACAAATACGTACACATGTATTATGATTAAACAAGTTAAATTTAAATGGATGGGATTTTAGTTGAAGCGAATTTACAGCGGGTTCCAGAAGCAACCGACTCTACGCCCCAGAGACAATCGTCAATTTCAATGAACACAATGTAGTTCAACATTTCCAGAAAGGAATATTGCAGAAAAATATCCATCCACCACTGGTTTTGTTTAACTAAACAACAACAAATTTATCAAACTTTAAATTTGAATAAAGCAAATTACGTGTACATTGGCGAGCTCACTGTTCTATTTTTGACATGTTTTAATTTCTAGTACTTGCAGTCCCATAAACTATATACCTATAATTGAACTAATTTATGTTTACAAAAACTACTTATAATGGATATATGATGATACTAAATGGCAGTCTATGTATTGACTTAATTAAGCATTTCTTTGGATTTGTAAGTCTACCTTTCACCCCTTTTGAAAATAATAATACAATAACAATAATTTGGAATCAATTTTCAAAAGATTAATTTCCATTTAACTTCCAGGAATTCCCATAAATTCAATGTAGAAAAATTTCTCTCGAAAATCCAGATTTCAGCTACATATTGTGCACACTTGCATGAGTATGATTTATTAAGTGATTTTTTAGCTTTATTGACTATGCAACAAAATTTTTATCACATCAACATTGCTGACAGGCCTTTGGATAGGTTTCACCATCCAACCAACCAAGCACACATGGGCGTTTTTCTCAGAGCAAAAATATAATAAATATTATTTACTACTGCGAAAATAAACTTGCACAAAAGGAAAAAAATTTTAATAATACCAATAAATAAATAAAATTAAAATGAAGGAGAATATTACAATTAATCGCATGTTGAAAAATGACAAATTTTATACACAACTGCGTAATATTTTCAACATTAAATAAGAAATTTTTTCCTTTATTTCGCCTGGGCATAAACAAAATTAAAGGAGAACACAGAGGAGGCGCCACACCAGATTCACACTTCGTCAAATAATAATGGCAACACGCCATTTTCCGACATGTTGGAAATATTATGGCGCCGTAATAGTATTTTAAGGATTTTTTTACTGTTAGACGGCGCGACAACGAGTCATTTTGGTATTTGCCAAGTAGAGTGAATAAAATCTTAAAAGCGAATGACTTGGAATATGAGTACCACGGGATACTTTCATTCCACTGGTATGAGTCGTAATACAATTATTGTATTCCCGCAGCTCACTTTCACTCTTGTATTGTTGTATATATAAACCTACACAACGTATTTATTGGTTGTAATATTTCATGTAGTATTAAAAAATATTTTATTTTTATGTTTATAACGAAATGAAAATGCTTACTTAAATTGTAAAAGTTACTTCCAAAAAAAAGTGTCGACTTTTTTTTTGTTACCAGAAGTCAGTGCACTTTTGTATTTATCAAAAGTGAAATAAAAATTACACTTTATACGTCAAGAAAGTATTTCACTTTAAGACATGCCTTTGCATGTATTATATGTTTATAATAAATTATATATACATATATATGTTTTATACATACGAAAACAGTCCTAAGTTTTATGTAGGTGAATAAATCCTTTTACTGTTTTTTTATTACGTCGAAGGACATTTTTTTTAAATGTCTCGTGTTTTCCCTTAGAAATTATTAAGCAATAAATATATAAAAAATTTTATGATCTCATAATAATTATTATTTTATTATTAATAATAAAATAATAATATTGTGCTATCATAATTAAAAAGTTATCAAGTTTTAAATTTAGCTTAGATTTCAATTAATAATAGGACTTCTAAAAGATTAAATAATATAAATTGTAATTTCTTCAGAAATAATTCACTTAGTGAATATTATATTTCCACATCAGATTGCCTTTTTATATGAATTGGATATTAATTTATTGCATTTAATGCATGAATATAAAAACTTGTATCATATTTATATATTTGTATATTTATTATACCTATATATTCCGACATTAGGAGGTCCTCAACAACCGACATTCTGGCCTTCATTCGAAAGGCGGAATTTCTTTTGTTCAGTTAGGGTCTGTTGTAGCACAAAAGATCAATTATGGTCGCGGTGCTCTGCTCAAATGGGAGCTAATACCCTGTTCTTTCTTATTTCTTATTATTATTTATACCTATATATTCTATATTATTATATTTAATTATTATTGTATTATAAATATTTATATTGTTATATATATATATATAATATTGATGATTTTATAATTATCAATTAACTTAATTTAACAAAATGATCAAATAAACATAATTAAAAAAAGCAAGATTCATTGATTAACAAAAGTATTCGCCACTAACTGCCACGTAACACATCGTTCAAGTGCATACTAAAACTAATTTCCTTACGTTTACGATTTGAGGTTATCAGACCTTTTTCAATTGCAATCTACTAATTAACTTCTCACACCAGTAGCTTACTAAGATGCTTTACTGGACAAACTAAAATATAATACAACGTTTTAAAACAAAATTCTTAGAAATCTATTCAAAGTTGCTTGGTACAGTAGGCCTACCTGATACAATGCGACCTAGAAATTCCATCAGGCCAAGAAGAAATAAAAAAACTATTCCAAATCGCAAATAGAGTTGCAATCCACGTCAATGACAAAATTTCTGAACTTCTAAAATGGAAAAACTTGGAGACGTTGAAAAGGCACAAACCGATTAATATCATAAATATTAAATAGTAAATACAAAATGTGTATAAATGTATTCAATACAAAGTGCTCTGTACATAAGTGACATAACAAACTTGTTAGTTAATGTAATTTAAAAAACTGTTTGCTATAATAAATTAATTGAAACTAAAAACAAGAAAATTAACATAATACTTAATTAAATAAAAAAATTATTTCGATTATCAAACATAAATGTGCGTTCTAGTGTATTGCTCCTTGTGAATAGTAGGCAACTCAAGAGCCATTAGTTTCTTATTAAAAATTAATACTAAATACACTTAGTAACTCACTTTAATGCCATTAACATTAAAGAACAAATTTATTCACTCGCTCTGTACTTTGAATCAAAGGCATTTCAACAGTAAATAAGACGATTGATTACACAACTATTCAAATAGCAATAACTAATTATTTTCTTAAGTATTAATTTTATATAAAATTGTAAGGTAATTTTTGGGGTTCAAACTTTTTGTTCGTTATTTAATTTTCTATTCAAGAATAAGTTTAAAGATGTAACTTGACAATAATCTGTTTTTATTATTACTCCTAAAACCGCTGCGAAAATCTCACATATAAAAGAAATTATCACTTTTTGGCAAAATTGAGTTATAAAAGATTTTTTTATATTATTGTGTGCAATACAGTTGCTGTAATAATAGAACACTGTCAAAAATACAGTCATACTGACCCAATAAAAATTTCTCTCGCCGTCTACCATTTTATCTGTAAGTCAGATGTAAGTCAGATGATTTGATTGAAAAATCTTCATAGTTACTTTGTTTTTAATTCGATTTTACCATTTTAACAAGCTGCATCCATATGAGAGACAGAATGTTGGATTTGCTCAAAAACATGAAGCCTTTGACGACGATTTTTGATCTGGACTTTGATCTGGGCCGGAGTCTAGAGTTAGTTTAAGTGGTTACCTGCCATGAAAACACAACACTACAGTATCCTCGACATATGTGTCAAGATAAATAAGTAATAAATAAATGATATGCAAACATCTTTTACTATGAGGAGCTGTCTTAAATAGAAAATAAATCGAATGACCTCATTGAGGTGATACGAAAAGATCATTGGAAAAAAAAATTCCTCCGGTGCCAAGTTATATATTTTCGTATTACTTCCTCTTTAGGAACACCTTTGCTGCTCTTTGGGTCACAGCACGCAGTTTAAAATGGGAACTCTACATTGCATGAAACGCGAAGACTAAAAATCTAATTGTTTATGTATCCAGTATCAAGACCAATTAAAATTACGATCACTTAGATCTCGAAGCAACAAATTTCAATCTGTTAGGGTGTTGCAAGTAAAAATCCATTTAGTAACAATTATATTTCAAAACGGTGCAGTATGGTGCCAAAAGTATTTTAGTAACCTTTTACGATATATATAGGTTAGGTTAGATGAAGCGGAGATAGGCAGTGAAATCCTCGTGATGATGAATAGAAAAATGGAAGCCGGGAGCATTAATAAATGCGAAAATCTGTCCAACTTTAATGTTGGACATATCACCGAGTATATTAAAGAGTGGGACACCCAATAGATTGAGCCTGTTTCTAGACAAGTCTGGACATAAATACAATAGGTGTTCTGCAATAGGTGTACTACAGAATAGGCGATGCTTGGCCTTAAAGTAACGACACGTGTACTTTGATAATACTCCAATTCATATTTCAAATAGGTACTTGATTTAAATTGAAAGACTCTGATATATATCAACTAATATCCTCCATAGATAAATTTTGAACTTTTAAATTTTGAATTTAATTAATTAAATACAAAAATTTTTTTGCAATTTATTACTGCTTAAAGGTTTATATTTGTTATATGTTGTCGTTGTATGTTTAATAAAGCAGTTTTTAAAAGCATAAATTTTGCAATGCATTTCTAAAGATTATTTAAAAGCTTTATTAAACAAAATATGCAATTTATTTTTTTAATCGTAATTATAATAAAATTCAATGTATGTAAACTTAATGCAATAATTTCTGTGTCAACAAGTATTTGAAAGGAATTTCATGCATTTCAATTAAAATTCATAATTAAAATATCTGCGAGTCATGAAATTATTGATTTAAAGTGTTAATGGTTTAAGTACTTAAACAGGGAAGGCAAAAATTTCTTACAACTAAAACGAAAGCAATTAGTCAAAACGTTGTTTAACACGAAATTTCCGTGCCTAATTTGATGAAATTGTTCGAAATTGTTTACATGACAATTTAATTATGCATTAAAAGCAAGCAACAAGTGTTCGACAAAATTACGAGAATTTGAGCGAGTCACACGCATAGGACTTCAGGACTCAATATTGAAATTCTATGTAAAGTATTTATTTGCATGTCGAAAGCTGTCAATGTCGGCAGACTGATTTATCAGATTTACATAAAGTTACTATTTTCACTTGAATTTGCAAATTTCCTAAAATAATTCACATTTTACAATGCATTTCACTATCAAATAGCAATATTGGTCTCTAAACACAACCATAGAAACTATAAAATCATATCATAATAACATGAAAAATAAACTGTAAAATTATTTGTGTTTAGTTTATGTCCTGCTGCCCGCAAATCACCCCCTTCAGACCATTTTATATACGCACATTTATGTTTCAACCCAAGCTTTACATTGTAAAATTGCATAAAAATGAAACTTTATCAGGACACTTTACACGATGTTGTGGCGACAATGACTACATAATTTTATATGTACATACTTTGTAATTTTATATAATACGAATAAGTGCCTTACTTACTGGGATACAAAAGATTTCCGATAAAAAAAAAATTAAAGAACATCAGAAAACTTAAAGAAAGAAAGCCAGTAATGAAAAACTTTTTTTATTTATTATACATAGTTAGTTTTTCAGCAGATACTGGCTAGCTATACTTAAGCTGAGCTCCCTTACTATGCAAGGATTTTGTAACATGTAGCTTTATTGTTCACATACGAGTACGTTTAAAAATTCCTTGTATTCTAGCTGAAAACAAGACAACTTTGTCACATAACTTTCACCCATTGACTGCGTTATCTTTCAGTTTTCTTATTGAATTGATACCATATAGATAAATTTCAGAGTGTGGAGCGCAGTTGCGTTACAGTTTATCCGTATTTATGTATTTCAGTTTGTGTCGATGATGTTGTCAGTAATGCCAGTAATGTCCTTCTATTACATCTACGACAACTACGACAGTGTTATTGTTATAATGTCGCATGAAATTTAGTGTCTGCTGTGTTGGACAAGGCGCCATGCCACTTAATTCATGGAATATTGTTAAATTTTATATAACATAAGAAAGAAATACTCGTATAAAAGAGTATAAATATAAGAAAAAATATATGAAATTCTTAAACGCTAATAGTTGTATAAAATTAATGCTTTAAGGTATTTTAATAAACTGCTGAGGTCTTGAATAAGAATGAAAATAGTTGATTATATTGCAATAGATTTATTGAAATTGGATTAGATATATATAAGTTTATGTCACGTGTAGATGACCTATAGTCACACACATTAGTTTTTGCTGTATTTTTTAAATATTTATTATTTCTTCACTCAAAGATCGTAGTTTCTGCACTCGATAATTGTCGAAACATTAAACAAAATTTAAATTGAGTCACAGTTTCTATTTTCTACTAACTATAAACAGTAGTTGAAAGTTAGCAGTCTTCGTTATTTTATATTAGGAATGAAACTTAGTTTGTGAAAGTATCATCGTATGTATTAAAAATTCTTTTAAATTATAGGAAATAAGTGCAAGCTCACGAAACCTTCACAAACCCTGTTGTAAATTCAAGAAATCAATCCAAATTATTATCTCTGTATTTCTAATATATCATTGCAACTAATTGTAACATTTGAAAACTAGCGAACAATTTGTAAAAAATATTGTATTGTATTATAATTATATTAGCATTTTGCACTATGCTCACAAAGATAAAGTCACCCTATGAGGCGACTTTTTGCG